AAATAAAAATAAAAATAGGGGCGCCTGGGTGGCTCAGTCTTTAAGTGTCTGCCTTCAGCTCAGGTCATGATCCCAGGGTCCTGGGATCGAGCCCCACATTGGGCTCCCTGCTAGGCGGGAAGCCTGCTTCTCCCTCTCCCACTCCCCCTGCTTGTGTTTCCTCTCTTGCTGTCTCTCTCTCTGTCAAATAAATAAAATCTTAAAAAAATAAAAAGAGTGCATCTTATTTGTAAGCAGAATGACAGAATTTGCCAACAGATGGGAGGAAGGGCCAAAGACAGAGAGGAACGGGTTGAGCCAGGAGGTAAGGCATACGTGTGGGGAGGTGAGTTCTTGGCGAGGGATGTGTGAGAAGAAATGGGGGATCAGGACTATGGAAGGATGGTACAGGTGAGGGGAAAGGAGTTTAGAAGAAAGTATGAACACATGGAAGGTGCAGTGGGGCAATCATCTGAGGCTGATAGGGACAGGCAAGGAGTGACAGGGACGTGCTGGGAGGAGAGAAGATAAGGGATGATCCAGACAGATGAGGTCTGTGGGGACAGGTAAGGAGGGATGGGGCCCTGCCGGGGTGGGGGGTGGCGGTCAAGTGAATGGCAGAAACCAGCGAGGAGAAACGAAGAGCTGGAGCGGGGCCATCTGGAGGAGAACCTAAGGCTGCAGGTGTGGAGAGAGGAGCGGAGTGGAATGTGATGTCAGAGAAAGGGCGGTGATGTAAGAGCCGGGCGGTGGGGCGGTGATGTCAGGGCTGGTGCTGATGCTGGCGGCGCAGTGCATTGTGGGCAGCTCCTCGTTCCGCCGCTGCCTCCGCCGTCGCCCGAGGAGGATCGGGGCCGGGCCGGGCCGGGCCGGGTGGGGATGATCCCGGGCGGGAGGCCGCCGCCGCCGCCCGGGACCGAGCCGCTGTCCGCCGCTGCCAAGGGTCGCAAATCCAAACGCGGCTCCGGGGCGCCCCCCGCCCATGCCACCGGGCTCCCGGTCCCCGCCGCCCCGATCCCCGCCGTGATCCTCGCCGTGACCTCCTCGGCCGGCTCCCCTGCTCCCGGGTCGCGCATCAGCCACACGGACAGCAGCTCGGACCTCTCCGACTGCCCCTCCGAACCCCTGTCCGACGAGCAACGCCTGCTACCCGCCGCCAGCAGCGACGCCGAGTCTGGCACGGGCTCCAGCGACCGGGAACCGCTGCGAGGAGCCCCCACGACGAGCCCCGCACCTCGCGGGGCGCCGCCCAGCAGCCCCGAGCCCCCGGCGCTCCTCGCCGCGCCTCCCGCCGCCGGCTCCTGCCTCGGGGGTCGGAGCAGCCCAGGCGGGGTCCCCGTGGGGTCCCCGGGAACGGGTGTGGCAGAGGATGCCGGGGGGCGCGCGCCGCTCGAGCGAACGGTCCCCGGGATCCCCAAGGAGCCGGGTCCGGGCGAGCAGACCCGACTGGTACCGGCGGAGGAGGAGGAGCTGCTGCGGGAGATCGAGGAGCTGCGCTCGGAGAACGACTATCTCAAGGTGAGCAATCGGCTCCGCAGCAGGTGTCCCGGAGGCGACCCCAAATGGTCTGGGTGCGGGCGGGGACCCACGAGCCCAGCTTTTCCGGTCCTGACAAGCACGTTCTCTCTTCTGGCTTTCGCTTTTCCGCCCCCGCACACACTGGGCTTTGGGAGCTTAAGCTAAAACTTCTGGAAGAGCAGCAAGACCTGAGGGTCTGGGCGCGTTCTCACCCCACTTAGCTTTACTTGTTTCTTGAAGTCTTGCTTCTTCGTGCTGACGCCTTTGCCTCTGTAGCTGTGCTGGGGGAGAGGTGGCCAGAATCACGTTTTGGTTACGCAGCTGACCGTCCCCCCGGCCAAAATGTGCCCACTCTCACCTGTGGGATCTGGCTACCCTTAGCCAAGGAGCTCTGGGCCCTGCCCAGTGCAGGTGTGTGTAGGTTGTGGCGCCTGCTGTGGGTCAGGCTGTGGATGTGCCAGATGCTTTTCCTGCATTTATACAAAGTGAGGCCCCCTCTTTCTCTCTGGGGGGCCTCCGTGTTTTCAGTGATAAACCTTAAGCTCAGGGGTCCCATGAGTGTGGCCCGGTTTGAGGCAGGGGGTTTGGTGGGCTTGGCCGGCCTGTCCTTTGTAGGTGTCCACAAGCCGGTTTTCCTTGTCAGGAGAGGCCACTTGATTCCCCAGCACTTTCGAGGGAATTGCAACCTCTGCCGCCCTATCTCCAAGTATTTCTTGTGAGGTCCTGCTAGTAAAGGCCTCCTCTTGGTCTTCTTAGCTTTGGGTCCCTCAATCTGACTTCCATCTTTTCTCCCAGGAGGAGGGCAGGTTGGCCCCGCAGAACAGAGGACTTTGTGTGTGGGGGGGGAGTTTAAGAGAATTCAAGTGACTTGAGAGAAAATAAGGGGGAAGTGAGTTGGGGGCAGCTGTTTTATTATAGTTTTCAAGTTAGTAAATTACTACAGTGGTATGAATCTTTTCATGTTTCTTTTAAGATTCTAATATATATCTCCTTCCAAACCAGCGGGTGGCCTTTCTTTATCTAGGTTATGTCATTTGTACTTTCTTTTCAGCAAATGCTGAACCTACCCAAATGAGGCCCCATTTTTGGCCAGGGGGACCAAGGGCCTGGGCTTATTTAAGGTGGTAAAGTGTGCAGTTCAAATTGACATCAGAATAGGTTTATGGCTGAGTATTCTAAACCTAAACCTCTTATCAGGAGCTGCTCTCCCCAACTGAGCCCAGTAGTTGTTTTGCCTGCAAAGAGGTAGCAGTGAGGCAGAGAAGCAGAGGTGAGAACAGATTGGGAGTTTGGAGTAAGATGTTTCAAGCAGTACATTTGCTTGTGTCACCCACTCTTATGTAATAGACAACAGAGTGATTTTCAAAGGTGCTGAAGAGAAAGACCAGTGATGTTGTATGTGACTCCATCTTGAAATCAGCACTTTTGTAGATCTTCAACAAATGTAAACTCCCTAAGGGCCAGAAAGATGATCTCGTTGGGTTATAGCGCCAGCTCTTAGCATGATCCCTGACCCACAGTGTTTCTGATTCAATGACGTTTATCCAAATCACGACCTGCTAAACAACAGGAAATTGAGCGTTCTGTAAAAGAAGTTTCCCATTGCGTCTTTGATCTTAAGGTAGGCAGCTCAACAGTCATTTCAGAGTTCATTCCTAAGTAACTGTTTATTTGCCTTATTCTTTCACGTTGGTCCATTCTCAGTGAACGAACTACCTGTCTGACCCTGGAGTCTGATCTCGTGTATTTGGTATTTCAGTGAGTCTTCACAACAACATAGGGTATAATTGTGGTCATTTTTATCATAACCCCAGTTTCACAGACAAGGATGCTGAAAGCCCAGAAACCTTACATGACTCGCCCAAGGCCATACAGCAAGTAGGAGGTGCAGCTTCTCTTTTCCCAGCTCCAGACCTTTTGCTTTTTTCACCGCAGCAGGCTGCCTTTCTCAGTGTAAGCCGCTTGCTTTAGTGTTGTTTATTTAGCTTGAAATGTTCTCAATGTTTAGCTTTCCTAGGGAGCCTCTTTTCATTTTAGGTGAAAGAGCCGTAATGAACACCTCTCCACTAGCCTATGTACAGATGGTCAAATAAATCCCACTGACAGTGCTTAATTTGTGGGAAATGTAGGGTTGCTGGTTCCTGTGGAGAAAGTGTCATGGCCAACCATTCTCTCTGCCTGAGTGCATCTCCCACCCCGTCTTCTGACAGCAGGAGAGAGAAGTAGGTAGAGGAGCTCAGAAGGAAGCTAGGAAACCAAAAGTCTGCACACAGATGTATGTGTAAGTTATGTGTTTGGTTATTCAGGAGCTTAAGTTACAATTGTTCATTTCGGGAGAAAACACAGCAATCCTGGTAGATTAAGGTCAGTGAGCATGCCCACTGGTGCAAAATGGGGCTGTGATCACGAGTGATCTCAACGGGCAGAGGCGGGCGGCATGCCTTGGCACAGGGTGTATAGAGCGTGCACATTATAAATCAAAACTTATCTTTTTAATGCTCTTGTTGCTCACTGGTACTTTTTTCTCATGGTTGGTAAAAGCTCATCCTTCACTAACTGCTTTCCTAGGGAATGTTGCACAGGGCTCTCATGATTAGACAGAGCATTCCTCTATTCAAATGTTACCTAACAAGAAGAGCCTTGACCCAGAAATTTTACTTTGGTATATTCTGGAGGATTGTGACCATGTTAAGCGTCCCCTTCTTCCCCAAGTCAGTTCTGTCACCATTACCGTGCAAGACTGTCACCCTTCCTGAGCTGGAATGACCAAAGGGTAATCAAGCAGCTACATAAGGCCTGCAAAGCCATAGGGGGATGTCTTACTGATCGAGAAATTCAAGTGGAATTCTCTTGGTTTTTAGCTGGTCTGCTGTATTTTCTAACAGATGTCGGTTGTGCTGCATGGGGCTGTCTGGGGCATCCCTGACTCTGCTTTCTCTTTCTAATTCTACCTTCATCAGAGGGCACCAAGGTAGCACAATTATTCAATCCAGGCGGCTGGCTTTATGTGTGAAAACACAGTCAGAAAAGCAGTCTTGCCCCATTACCCCTGATGAACTTAAATATATCTGGAAGTCTTCAGACATTCAGGTGAGAGGTTGAGTTCAGTTGTCCAGAGGCCTTTGCTTCTTTTTCAAACTGAACCCAGGCACATTTCTCAGTGACGAGTGCATTGACAAAATGCTGTGGGTGTGTTCCCTGCCTGCCTGCCACCACTGGGTTTTGCTCGAGTGCTCTGAGACAATCAGACCAGCCTTAGTGCTCATCATGAACATATTGTGTCCTCTGTTTCCACCGGCTTTTCAGGAGGATTTAATCACTTTCAGTTTATTGGCCTATTTTGAAAATGCCGTTCGGATTCCTGGTGACATGCTCACAATGTCCCCTCCACTTGTATCCAGATAGTGTTCTCCAAAGCCCCAGTGTCCTGCAGGATGGGCACGGGTTGGTGTGGGGGAAGGGCTGCTTTTTTTTTTTTTTTTTTTTGCTCTGCTTTCTCAGTGATTTCATAAGAATTATTTTTGTTTCAAACAAAAGTCCTCCTGTCAGGAGAGGCCACTTGATTCCCCAGCACTTTCGAGGGAACTGCTACCTCTGCCGCCCTATCTAGCTACTAGGGCAGCCAACATCCGATCATTTGAGAGAAGTGATTTCCTAAGGGAGATTATTGGTAGGGTCATTTGGGGCTTTATAGGTTGCAGTGTATCACCACTGATCCAGCCTTACCACCCTGTTTCTCACCTGCGTAGTCTTTTAAGTTTCAAACTCTGAAATGGTAAATTTGGCCCTGTGAGTTCCAGGTGCTCAGTGTGGCCTGGAGCAGGGACGCTGAGGCAAGAATAAACAGTTCTGAACAGCTAAAGTGTCGAGCTCTTCCTCTCCTCTGACTTTCTTTTGGAAGGGTTAAAGTGGACAGTGGTCCTGTTCTTTCCTGACATTCCACTTTCCACACCCATTCTTTATTCAGCCTGCGAAATATAATAATCTATAATAATCTTAGGTGGTGAGATAATATAGACCAGGGCAAACAGAGCCCATCAGCTGCTGGGTGAACTGTCACTTGGTAAACAATGGTTAGCAGCCCCCGTGCCTTCTTATCTACAGCTGGGACTGTGCAGAGAACATTTTCATTGTCCCGAGGGAAATGAGGTGGATTATTTGTATATTACAGCAGACGATCTTTCTGTCTGCAACTTCCAGAAGATGGAATTATTGCAACAGTAGCCCAGATGACTGCTCCCCTGTCCAAATTGGGATCTATTTAAAGAAGGGTTATTAAAATATTAATGTAGAACCAGTTATTGGTTTCACGTTGCTTGAAGGAGATTAAGATTTGAATACAGCTATCAGTATGATCAAGAGTTTGCATCCCTTAAATTAAGATATGGTGGATTCCGTTTTTATTTTTCAGGTGAAACTTTTTGTGGAAGTTTATATTGAAATGCTTCATTTTAATTTTGGTTTACTCTAGTGCATACATGGTACCTCATTATTTCTGTAATTTGATGTATATAATAAGGCTTGATCTGTTATCTGCAGGCAAAGGGGAGTAGTTTGGGAGCTTCACACTCCTTCAAGATTTCATTTTATATACAAAATTTGAAAAATAGATTAAATTAAAACTAAATTAGCTTTTCAATGAGGTAATGATCTAACAGTGAAGTACGCAACAGACCTGGTGTTAATTCTACATAAAACTGTTGATTAAGGGCAAGTTTTTTCCTTAGTTTCTGTGTATAAAAAAGCAACCGCAAATTTTCTGCTTTTACTTACTATGTCTAAAATTATATTTGCCAGAAACATACGTTCTGCTTGATTTGGTTTTCTTAAACATTTAAAAAGCAGACATCTTTAAAGTTCTTTAATACAACGTATTCTAAATTAGAGCATGCTGCCAGAAAAATTAACGTAGTGGTAGCCTGAAAATCACTATCCATCAAGACCCTAATCTGAATAATCACAGTTTTTGCTTTTCAAATGTCTGCTGCCAGCTTACATGGTTTATAATTTGCTTTTCTTGTAACTTCTTTTCACTGAACCTGAAAACTGCTTTTTTTCAAGGCTCTATGAAAAGAGTTGAAACACTGACCTTGATCCCATCTCTGCACCAGATTAGTGTTGAAAAGCCATTTAAATGTTTAGAATCTCGATTTTCTCATTTTTAAAATGGGAATATTAATATCTTCGCTGCATATTGCAGTGTTTCTCTGAGGGCCAGTTGAGAAAATGGATATGCTCACACATTGACAGTTGTCAAGATCTAAAAATGTTAACTTGCATTATTATGTCATACCTATGGTGGAAGCATGATTTAAGGCTTATTATTGTTTCATTTGTCTTGGTTGTTGCAAATAATTTATAGTATTTACTGGAAAGAGCACGTGGGTGTGCAGTCTAGCTTCTATTTATTAGCTAGGGAGGCTTTGGACATGCTAACCAGCATGGGTTTGCTCTCCTTGTCTATGAAATGGGTAATATGTTCCTGGCAGGGTGAGAATAGGGTTAGTAATGAAGGTAAAGTGCTAAATGAGATATCTTCTGTTCTACAAATTTAGATAAAATATGAGTTATAAAGGCAATGATTCAAATACATGCAATTACAGTCTCTGCCTAATTTTCCTTTCAGTGCAACTAATGTTGGTGATTATTTATGCCAAAAAATGTTAGCTGTTTACATCTGGCCTACTGAATGATTTGGAGGTGCTGGTTCATCTAGCCCTTACACATGTTTTTCTTTTAGCTTGTGTAGTTGTTTACGCATCTATAGAGCATATGCAGCATTTGATATTTGGGTCCATGAGGATCCTCCTGATACAAAATCTGAAAGCTAGAGAACAGTTTTATACCCAAAAGTTGTATCTTATGTTTTCTTATGGCTTTTTTGCACTTTGAAAACTTTTGTTTGAGTAACAGGTAATTCCAGGCATTAATGACTTTCTAGAAGGAAAAGCTTTCTAGAAGGAAAAGCAATCACAGACAATTCCTTCCGTGAACAGAATGGCCACAGTTACTATATATTTGTATGTATACATATACATGTCATGATTATTGCTTGTATCGAACTATGTGTTAGTTACACAATGAAACAATTACCTTTTAACTGTACTCCGACACAAGAGAATAGGCTTTTTCTGAAAAACCCATCATATATATAGGTAGAACCCGAGAGAAACTTGACCTTGATTTTGAAGCTTCGGGATTAATTACCTAATCTTTACCAGAAGATTGACACCCACAAGGCCTGTGTTAAAGTTTGCAGTCTGCAGCTGGTCTCCCCCAGCATGGGGCGGGTCAGGGGCATGGCTCCCACACAGCATCACAGCCTCAGCGTAGGGATCTGGCATCAGTCTGCCAACTTACTCTTTGCTGATGTTGGCAAAGACCGTTCTGAAAGAGCTGCGTTCTCTCATTCCCTGTAGAGCCCCGCCTGTCCATCCTGTTCACATATGTTCAACTGACTGGCTTCCACGCTTGGTCTGTGAACTCCCAGTCGCAGCGAATTTTCCTACTAGGAACAAGATGTATAGGAAGAGCTCTCCATGAAGGAAAACAGGAAGGAAACAAAACTTGCTTATACTTCACAACACTTTTCAATGTTAAGATTTACCTTTTTCTTAAGACACACTAGAACATCTTATATTTTTAATGAGGTTGTGACCGCTGCTATAGAAATTTTGTAAGAACATTCAGAAGCTGAGAAAAAACCACTTTATATCAATTTACTACTGGGGCGTGGTAAAGCTTTTCTTCTTTAACATTCATTCCTCTTGGCAGTCCATTCAGACAGGCTCCATTTGGAGTCATGATCAGTTGAGTAGGCCATTCTCTTCGTTAGGGTAGTGTGGACAAATTGGGGAGAAGCTACAGGCTGCGGTTTGGGGGAATGAGATGCTACATCTGTGTTCTTTCCAGTGGACCACTGCATATGGTTGAGGTTGGCTGGGCAACTGTCTTTACCCTGTCTGTGCCAATTTGTACTTTTCCATAAAGAGTACAAAATCTGCAGGTGGAAGATTTATTTGTTACACTTAAACTTTTCCAGGTTAAATTACTCTTCAGGAGATTGCCTTCTGGTCAATTTCTTATCTACCTGAGGCTTTGATGTTGGGAAGCTGTCGTTGTTTATTATAAGTAAATCCCTGCTTTTAAGAACAAATGCAGGATTAGTGAGAGTGGAGAGAATCAGGAACAAACTGAGTAGCAGGAGGAGAGCTGACAACTTAGGGTGTCCACATCGTGGAGAGTTTTTTCCTTGACCCTCACTGTTAATTGAACAAAACAAAAAGGAATGACTGAATGTATCCTAGTCTGGAGACATTTAAACCATCAGTGATCAAACTAATCAAGAAAATGACTAGAATGCTTTTCTTAATCTTCCACCTTCCAAATTACTCCTTGTTAAAATCTTTTGTAATATTTCAATAGAATTTCTGTCTCGCATATTGCAGCTACATCTGTGGGTTTGGGAAGAATTCTTTGTAATTAGGTTACAAGACTGGAACAAAACAAAGGTGCATTTGTGTTTGATTTTGGTCGTCCTTACAATTTGGTCTTTGTCGGGATTGACCAATGTTCCTGTGTGTTCATCCCACCAATACTTATTGAGGGCCTGCTGGGCGCTGTGAATGCAGGGAAGCTGCTACTCACATTTCAGTATGGGCGACAGACAAGAATAGGAAGAAGCACGATTAACTAGTAGCTGGTGATAAGAGGTGGGAAGAAAACAGAGCAGGGCAGGAAGAATTAGAGACGGTGGGGTTGGGAGGATGGGTGGTCAGGAAAGGTGCTGTGTGTGTGCCTTCCAGATGATGTGACAATGAGCTCTGTAAAAGTTGGAGAGGAACATTTTAAGGAGAGGGTAGAACAGGTGGAAGGGCCTTCAGCAATCCAGATCCTGTGAGACCAGCAGTGTGGCAAGGAAGAAGGGGGCAGCTCATAGGCCCTGGGGAAGACTTTGAAGAATTTTCTCAGGGCAGCGGGAAGCCCCTGGAAGGTCTGAGGGGCGTGGTCTGAGTTCCATAGTAAAGGATAACTCTGGGTGGAGAACTGGCTGAAAGGGAAGCAGGGAGCCCCGCACAACTTGCGTGTGTGTGCACTTGCTCCCTCGGGACAGATGAAGGCAGGGACTAGCTGTAGTGTGCAGCCACTGGGTAGAGAGTGCCCCGCATGTATGTTGCTCTTGGGCTGACAGCACTGGTTTTGATGTGGAATGGGAGGGGAGAAGGGGGAGCAAGGACAACTCCTGGGTTTTTCCTGTACCCACAGTGTCTTCATGCTGACGCCAGAGTAAAGTGGAGATGGGAAATGAAGGCCAAGTGAATGGAAAAAAACCAAACCCAATGTGGATTTGACATAATGCAAAAGTTATATCTTTGGAATCGTGAGTCACATAGTCAGTGCTGAGACTTGTATGGTGGAACCGAGTTTTAGGGACATTTGCAGGTGTGTCACAATTCCAGGGCGGTTCAGTTATGATCCCATTAAAGTTAATGTCCTTTGAAGGCAGGGCGACTCCTGTGCAACTCCTCTTAGTCCCGAGACTGTGCCCTGGAGATAAGATTTAGGTCAGTGTTTGGTTTAAATCTAAAGGTTCAGTTATCTGCAGAGCTGATTTTATTTGTGATTCTGATTATGTAAGAAAATATTGGGAATAGAATAAATGCTGGCAGGCTGTAGTGAATAATCCCTCCTGGTTTTGAGTTTCTGGATCCATGAGATTTGAGCAGACATCTGAGGATATTGTCTCGTGTGACCCTTTCCAGAGGTCCCTGTGTCCTGTGACACAGGTGTGCCCATCAGCCACGGGATAAGTGCACAGGTAGTTAACGTCCAGTATTGCAGAGCTGGGGTGGACCCATCCTTGTTCTGGTTGGTCTGGCTTATAAGTCTGCTCCATCTGGCTTGTGTAGGATGAACTGGATGAACTCCGTGCTGAAATGGAGGAGATGAGAGACAGTTACTTAGAGGAAGACGTTTACCAGCTGCAGGAGCTTCGGCGAGAGCTGGACCGCGCTCATAAAAACTGCCGAATCCTGCAATACCGCCTCAGGAAAGCCGAGCAGAAGAGCCTGAAAGTGGCTGAGACTGGTCAGGTAGATGGCGAGCTCATCCGGAATCTGGAGCAGGACTTAAAGGTGAGTGAGCAGGGCTCATGGAGTTCTCATTCCCAGAAGGGGCTGCAGGGTGGGGGGGGCAGGATCGCAGGGCTGAGGCCGGCAGCCCTTCGGACCCACTTATCAACGGTCCTGCCATTCTACTAGTAGTTCTCTCTTTCTCAACAGATTTCAGCATACACGTTCTTCATTCACCTTATGGTGTATAGGTTATGTGTAGTCATATGGCTTTGACAGCCCAAGATTTAAACCTGTCGTATGAACTGGAATCTTAAAACCTAAGGAAAAGAAAAGAAATCGTAGTAAGGAATCTACAATTTAAAAAAGAGAGAGAATTGGGGCACCTGGGTGGCTCACTCGGTTAAGTGTCTGTCTTCGGCTCAGGTCATGATCTCAGGGTCCTGGGATCAAGTCCTGCATCGGGCTCCTTGCTCAGTGGGGAGCCTGCTTCTCCCTCTACCTCTGTGCCTGCCCCTGCTCATGCTCTCTCTCTCTTGCTCTCTATCTCAAATAAATAAAATCTTTAAAAAAATAAAAAATAATAAATAAATTTAAAAAAATATCTGCCACTTGTTCTGACAGTTGTGTAGAATTGTACAGAAACGTCTTCTAAAGATCTGGAATATTTTTAAAAATCTATTGATTATCAATTCAATGATAGTCAAAGACCACTCATAAAGGTTGACTATAATCACTTAATGTTTTTATTGTTACTTAAGTTTCTAGAATGCAGAACACCTGAAATGACCATAACCCAAGGATGGTGTTTTGATTTAACTGAAGGAGAAATAGGATCATAACTAACTGTCTAAAGCTAATTGTCTAAGGTGTTTTTGAAAACCATTGGCAGAGGTGGGAATGAGGTGAAGAAATTCCAGACATTATACCATTTGATCTCTCCATGGGTAGCATGGCTTCTCTTCATGCCCTGATTATCAAATCATTTATCAAGAGATGAATTATGCATAAAGTCCTCCTTATTATGGGAGTACTTATGAAATCTCATTTCGCCTTTCATTATGATAACAGGAAAAGAATCTTTGTAATTCTATCAAATTTATAAACCACTAACAAAATGTCATTCAGTGGGATGTAAGGGTGATTTATATTTCTCTTGCAAAATCTCTTTCCTTTTTCCCTTTAGAAGGTAAAAATGTTTAACTGCTTTTAACATTCAGATATTTTACCACAGTAGACAATTTAAAACTTGACTACCTTCCTTATTTTACAGGATTATCTTGGTTTTTTTGTGGTTTTTTTTGCAGGTAGTTTTAGTATTGCCTTAGGGAACAGAAATGTTTATTGATTATTAGTTATTGTTATTTCTAATTTACCATTAAAGCATGTGTGTGAGCAGAATTGGCATTCTTGGTGATACTCTATAATGAGGTAGAGCTATCCACAGTAGCCTTTTAATCCAGATAAAGGTCATATCCTCGCTCATAATGTGGATTTCATGTTTGAAACTGATACCTCCTCCTTTAAAGATAGGCTTGTTAATATTGCCAGGGTCTTTGCCCTTTACTGTGATATCCTATCACTTAATGATTCTGCCTCTGAAGTTTTTGTGCCCTTAGCACACAGAAAGCTTTACGTCTTGATGACTATCTCTGTTGGTTGATATAGGTAGCCAAAGATGTATCTGTCAGATTGCATCATGAACTTGAAACCGTGGAGGAAAAGCGTGCTAAAGCTGAGGATGAAAACGAAAGTCTCCGACAGCAGATGATTGAAGTGGAAATATCCAAACAAGCCCTCCAGAATGAGCTAGAGAGACTGAGAGAGGTAATCCCAAGATATATGCGGATTTCTTTCTTGGGTTTAATTGTTAGGACCTTGGGACTCCAAGCATCCCATTTGGTGAACTATGATTTATTTGTAGGGCCCAGAAAGTAAGAATGGTTTTTACATTTTTCGTAGCATTATAAAACAACAACAACCACACAAAAATAAACCTAAAAAAGCAAAGAAGATTATGTGACAACAGCTATATGTTGCTTGCAAAGCCTAAAATATTTGCTGTCTGACCCTCTACAGAAAAGGCTTGGTGAACCGTGACCTAAAACTACTTTTTTATCATTTCTATTCAGATGAGCTGGCCATTAATTCCTTTTATGGGTCCAAGTGGAGAATATTATTACTAGAATACAAAATTAAGCAGTAGCTTTTTCCTCGAGTTTCCTCTTCTATGAGCTGGAAAATGTGTTATGGTTGTCTATTAAAGCTTGTAAACAAATAATAAGCCACCTATATCTATTATTCAGGCACTATGGTTTAAATATAGGGCTTTTCTTTTTATTTGAGGGAGTGAATGTATTCTAGCAAAGCGTCTAGAAAATGAATATATATATATATAAATATAAATATATATATTTCCCTTTGCATACAGTAATGCAAAAGCTGTTTTGTTATTGACTTCCATTATAAGATTAAAGCTGTATATTTTCTTGGAAAATATCCTGCATATTGATGGAGGTAAAAGCTGTTGGTTAGGCCTTTATGGTGATGGCTAAAGCCAGCATTATTACCTGCTAACGGCCTCACTTAGTGCATTTTCCCTTTGGCCAAGTTTCCCGATTCACTTAGTTACTCCTCATCCATCCAGCCATGCGCCTGCCCACACTTAATTCAGGCTCCGTACCATGCCCTGGGGATGCAGATGTGAACATGGCAGCACAGGCTCTGCTCCCAAGATGTTTACAACTCAATTTGACACATGGCTGGCAAAACAAATAAATCACAGCAAAGGAGCTGGTGTGGCTACCTCTCTGCTTCCACCCCTGCCCCCTCACAGCCACTCAGGTGCCATGATGTTCTTGAGGTTGGGGGGCTCCGACATTCTTTTTCCAGAGATCCACAGCCCTAGGGCTCAGTCCCTCGCCTTCAGGTCCCTGCTGATATCTCACCTCAGCCTCCTGGCTCCCCCACACTTACACATTCAAGTTGTCCCTGCCTCCACCCTGGCCATCCCTATCTACTTTCCCATCTGACATGCTTTGGATTTTGGTGAATTACTTGTGTATTGTCAGCACTTGTCTGAAATTGCCACGGGTTTTATTTCTTTGTCGTCTTCACTAATGTGCCTCTAGGACCTGAGCTCTGTGGGAAGAGGGTGTGTCTGTGTAGTTCACTATGGGGTCTCTGTGCCTAGAACAGTGCCTGGCACTTAGGCGTCGTCAGGGACATGCAGGGTGAGGGAGTGAATGAAGGGCGAGAATGTGGAGCTGTGGTGACCACAGCTTGCCTGGGGACTTGGTGAGCTTCACAGCACGTTCTTTCATCATGGGTAACCCTTGCTCCTTAACTTACATGTGTACTTACCCTGGGGACTGGGGGGATTTCTCCTCGCCTTGTGGGTCTCTTACCTCTGCATTTGGAGTTCCTAGTTCTTTACTTCCTTCTTTCTCCTTTGATCTAAGTTTGCTAGAAGGTTTGCCATATGGTTTCTTTTCTCAGAATTTCCAGTTTGAGCCTGACCTTGAGGGTACAGAAAACATCTTAGGAGTATATTTTATAAATGTTATATGTGTATATGCCTACATATAAATATTTAAATTATATATACACATAAGTAAGTAAATAAATATATTCAAAGCAAACAAAGTTTGTCTTGCCCCCGTGGAACTGGATTTGTGTAGGACTTGGCATCAGGTCACAAATAGCTCCTCAGGGAGGGAAATGATTACTGACATTCAATGCCAGGCAGAGGTGAGGCAAGGATCTTCAGAGAACTGTGATGTTGGCCGAGGTTGGATGTACACAGAGAAGGTGGCAGGGTCAGCCTCTCCCTGCCTTTATGGGTTAGAATCACTCACAGGGATTACTCAGCTGGGCTGCAATCAGTATTTTACCTGGAGAGTTGCAGTAAGACTAGGGGGGCTACATATTTGCGCCAAACTTCATGATTCTAAATGAATCATAAAACTGACAGGAGTCTGCAGAAGGTAGATACTCTGGACTGTGCTGGAAGCAGAGAACGATGCAACCAGGTGATCCAAGGTTCAAAGGTGGTAGAGGAGATACTTATTGGTAAGTGCTGGCTGTGGGCTCCGTGAATGGATTCTTTTTACTGAAGCCAGAATGGAACATGCTGTGAGCTTTGCTCTAGGGTGAGGATAATATTTGCTCTATCTTGAGTCCAGCTCGTTATTGTTCACCTCTGAAGTTTTGTAATCGGATGAGTCACATTCCGGAAAAGGCAAGGAGAGTTCGTGTGTCTCTGAATGACAGAAGTAGTTGCAGACGACTGTGGCCCCCTGAGCCTTGGAGGACGGTAAAACAGTGCATCTCTGTGCCTCTTCAGCCCTGTGGCTGCTGCAGGGGCTTCTCTCCAGAGCTGCAGACTATGCAGCTGCCTGGTGGACTTCTCCAAGATGGATTTCCCATAGCACTTCGAACTCAGAGAGTCCAGAAACAGACTTGTCACCGTTGGCCCCACCTGAATCTTCTCTGTCTTTCCTATTTGTTTTCACAATGCTACGGTCCTGCTAGTCCCTCAGGCTCGAGCAATGGTGGTTACCCTGACCTCTCTTACTGCTCATACTGAGATTGCCTTCAGATTCTGGTCTTCTGCTTTTGCAGTCTTAGGAATTTTCTTTTTTTCTTTTTTTAAAGATTATTTATTTATTTATTTGAAAGAGAGAGCAGAGCAAGAGAGAGAACACAAGTCAGGGGGAGGGTCACAGGGAGAAACAGGCTCCCCACCGAGTATGGAGCCCCATGCCAGGCTGGATCCCAGGACCCTGAAATCATGACCTAAGCCAAAGGCAGACGCTTAACCAACTGAGCCTCCTAGGCACCCCTGAAAACATGATTTTTTAAAACATTTTTAAATTTAAATTCAATTAACTAACATATAATATATTATTGGTTTCAGAGGTACAGGTCTGTGACTCATCAGTCTTATAATACCCAGTGCTCATTCCATCACGTGCCCTCCTTAATGCCCATCACCCAGTTACTCCATCCCTCCATCCCCCTCCCTTCCAGCAACCCTCAGTTTGTTTCCTATGATTAAGAGTCTCTGATGGTTTGTCTCCCTCTCTGATTTCATCTTGTTTTATTTTTTCCTCCCTTCCCCTGTGATCCTCTGCTTTGTTTCTTGATTTCCACACATATCAGTGAGCTCATATGATAATTGTCTTTCTCTGATTGACTTATTTCACTTAGCATCATATGCTTTAGTTCCATGCACATTGATGCAAATGGCAAGATTTCATTTTTCTCTCTCACTGATATATGCTGTACCATGGATGGACCACGAAAATAGACCAAGGAAAAGAAGCTGGACATATAGCACAATTCCATTTATCGAAGTAATTCGGAATAGGTAAATCCACAGACAGAAAACAGATCAGTGGTTTCCAGGGGCTGGGGAGAAGAGAGAGGACTGCTTAATGGGTATGGGGTCTGCTTCTGGGGTGACGAAAAGGTGTTAAACCAGATAGAGGTGATGGCTGCACAACCCTGTGAATGTACTAAATGCCTCTGTGTTGCACACTTTAAGATGGTCGGTTTTCACCTCAAATAAACATTTTTAGATTCTCTCTTCTACCCGTACTTTGACCAGTCTTCTCTCAAGTGAATATTTGAGAGCTGACTCTATGCCGTCAACCCATTAAAGACAGATGCTACTTCTGGTCCTTCCCTTCTCTGTTTTATCTTCGACACTCCCCCAATGCTGACAATGGGACTCTCTGCTTAAACACATGAACTTGCCCTGGCTCCCAATTGTCTAACTCTCTAGCGTGACATAGAGGACCCTTCCTGCCGGGGACCATCCCTGTCTCCCAGCTGGGTTTCCCACCCCACCGCTGCAGACCCTGGAGTGAAATAAAAGGCAGCAGAGCAAGATGAGAAGAATCTGTGCCCTCTGGTCCCCTTTGAACCGAGTGGGTCTTAGAAAAGTCACTGTCTCCATTGGCCGATAAGACGATTCAAGAGGGTTGGCAATATGAAACTATCTGGAATTGTCCCTTCTGGCTAGCTAGCTTGCCTGCCTGCTTCCTTGTGCCTATTTGCCTATGGTCCTTGCACCCAACACCCATACACCCTGCCACTCATGCAAGTTCAAAATGTTTTTGCCTTCTGAGGGGTATATTTCTTCTAGTACTCAACTCTGTGATGAAATATCTCGTCAGATTGAAAATGGTTAATCTTAGCTTAGTTTCAGCTTCTTAAAGATTGCTTCCACTGAGGAGTTTTTCATTCTACCCAAATTTTTGAGTACTTATACATGTTAGACACTATAATAACTGGCCAAGTTAGTTGGCACTTGCAAGGGACAGAGACATGTTCTAGATCATTCCAGGGAACTGGACTTTTTTTTTTCTTTTTTTCTTATTGAGGTATAATTGACATATAACATTATATTAGTTTCAGGTGTGATGGTTCAATATTTGTATATATTGCAAAATGATCACTACAATAACTGGTTAACATTCCTTGTTAAACACATGGGTCCAAAAATTTTTTTTCTTGTGATGAGAACTTCTGAGATCTACTCTCTTAGCAACTTTCAAATATGCAGTACAGTATTGTTAACTATGGTCATTATGCTGTACATTATATCCCATGACTTATTTATTTTATTATAACTGGAAGTTTGTATCTTTTGATTGCCCTTACCCCTTTTACCCATCCACCCTAATAGGGATTGTTGAATGAAGCCACAGGGAACCAATTAGCAGCCAGATAGCTCTTGTGGGCCATCTTTCAGCACCATTCAGGATGTGATATTGATTCTCTGGGTTTGGTTGAGACTTCCGTGGCTAGTAAATGGTTCAGATTTTGTAAATATTTCCTGAGTGCTTGAGAGGAAAGCATATGCTCCAGTTTTGGGGTGAAGACTTTAAATCCATTAGATTGAAGACTTTCAAACTTTAACTCACAGCAAGCAGTACATTTTGTATCATCACTCAAAATACAAACATAAAGGTTTCACAAAATAATGCCTATCTTTGCCATATGGGATGCATTTTGATATTTTCAATTCTATTCAGTTCTGTTTATTTATTTAATTAATTTATTTTTAAAGATTTTATTTATTTTTTTGACAGAGAGCGACACAGCGAGAGAGGGACCACAAGCAGGGGGAGTAGGAGAGGGAGAACAGGCTTCCTGCAGAACAGGGAGCCCAAAGTGGGGCTTGATCCTAGGACCCTGGGATCATGACCTGAGCCTAAGGCAGATGCTTAATGACCAGGCCACCCAGGTGCCCCCTGTTCTGTTTTTTAAATGGTAGTTATATGTTTGATTTACAGTCCATTGGTATATTGCTGCAATTTGGAAAAAGATTTTTTAGATCATTTGTTAATTGTGTTGTTCAAGTTTTTTATATCCTTTATAGTTTTGTTTTGTCTCCTAAATATAT